GCCTGCCCAGGACTTCCAGAAACAACACATCAAGCTTAGGCCATGTTGTATCCATACAGTGGTTGGACAGAGGGGCCAACCAGCAGGCAGTTAACTTATTAATAACTTGTATGAGTGTTCCATTCCCTTCCTCCATTCATATTTCAACTGTTACAGCTTGGAAGTTGATATTGGGTACACATGGACATTCAAGAACTGCAGTCTGACTATATATGTGTTCCATTCTTTGAAACACCACAGAGTTTCATGATGTAAATATTTTAACAGTTTTTTTTTAAATTCATTGTAATTTGAGTTTACTAATCCAGTAAACGATTCAATAATGGCGACATAACTTAGTAAATGAACACCATTATTTTACACTTAAGCTCACTTCAGACTCCCAACTTATTTTGTAGCTCTCCAGATCCATTAAGTGCCTTCTTCTTTAATCCATTTTATGCTAATTGTATTCGTGATCCTTATGAATTAAACATTCATTATTTCCAAACTAGGAATCTATCACTAAAACTATGCTAATGTGTAATGTACTAATATTGGTTGTAATTATCCTCCATTATAACTCAATTAGCACACAGCTCTGTGGCTGTCGATAGAGACAATGGTGGAGTGTAAATCCATGATCTCCTAGGCAGCGGGATGATTCGTTTACTTGTCTGTCTGTTTGCTGTCTTGTTAGGGAGAATATGTTTTATAGACTGGCCTGCAAAAAGTACATTTATTATCAGTGGGGCAAAGGTGTTAGACAGTTTTACCTGGACAATGATGGGGAAGTTGACAGTGTCTTTGAAGGACACCCCTATACCTCCTTTTCAGTTACCTTTTTTGCCCTCCCTCACAGTTCCTTGCTTCACTGCAGCTTTCACTGAGATCATCTGTGTTGGAGACACAGGTGAGCGGTGATGTCATTTCCCAGGTCTTGTGACAGTTCTTGGGCCTAGTGATTGGCTTCATGGAGGAACAGATCACATATTCCTCCATAGCTGTAAATACAATGTAGTGTCCCTGGCCGTGAAGAATCAAAGCGCTGCTAGAACCCAGGTGCCCAACCTGTGGCTCGAGGGCCACATGCGGACTTTGGTATATGATGTGTGGCCCTCAGACCTCAACAGTCTGTAGAGGGAACATTGATTAGGGTAATAGCTTTGATCTCTACTAGTCTCGTGTAACATGTTACCAGTTTCATATTGTCTTCTACAGCAGCCTTTCTCAACAAAGGTGCCTTGAGGTTTCTTCAGGGGTGCCCTGGCAAAATGTCTAAAAATTGACTAAAACTTGTATACAAGCCATTTACGAACTTCTAGCCGCTGGCATCCTGACAACCAATGACATCATCAGTTGACAAGGAGGCTCTACGTCAGTGCTGGGTTCATATTAGCTTAGTGATGGAGAAAAACTGAGGGAGAAGAGAAACGCTCAGTACCAGTGTTCAAGAGTGGATTTGCTTTGGAAGAATAAATCTTCTCTAATGTTGGGCGTCCTACATGTGTGGATGTTGCTGCATTATATGAAACTATTAGAATAGTTTTTCCCATTTTAGAATGGGGTGCCTCAAGACTGTCCATAATTTTAAAGGGTGCCTTGACTGGAAAAAGGTTGAGAAACACTGTTCTACAGCATATCTCTGTCAAGGTCCTACCTTTTCCCAGAGGTTATGTTACTCCATGTGCTGGCATCCATCTTGGATTTCTGCTGAGCATGGTGGGAAGCTTTTATGCCTTCAGGTCTCTGAGGTCCATCCCCCAGAGGGGTGTGGCTGAGTACATATAAGCCTGTGATCCGCACATGCTCTTTGCACTTGTGTCTTGTGTCTTTGTCTTGCTACAGCTCTGTGTATATGCTCGTGACTCTTCTGGTATTCTGACTCGGCTTGTGACTAAGACCATTCTCTGTGTTTTCCTTCGATCTGACCTTCCGTTGCTGAACCCGGCCCGTGACCTGTGATTCTCTGTCTACTGTTCTGTACTGTTTTGTCCTGTTGTTGTCGACTTGGCTTGCCTGACTACGCTATTGTCATTCTCACCAGCTACACGCCATTGGTGGCGGCCATTACCGCAGCCGGGGTGTCTCGGGGGGCCGTGACCTGGTTCCTGGCTGCGTCAAGTCCATCCCCACCATCAGGGGCCCTGGTGAAGGGCAGCCTGGGACTTAGACTCCGCGCCCTGAGGGACTTCGGTCTGTTGGTGGTGGTTGTCGTCAGCCAGTGCCTTACCCTGCCACTAGGCATACCTGTCCGTTCCACAGCCCTGCCCTGACAATCTCCAGCCAATATGTAGCATGTCCACACTCTTTGACTCTCATTTTCTCTATTAGGTCTTTAGCTTCTGACAGTTCTCTCAAACATTACATATATTGAACATTATGTGCTTCCCATTGGTGATGTCAGGGTCCACATTTGAGGCCCCTTTAGCTCATAAGTTGACAACCACAGTGCTAGAGAGTACAGGCATGGTAAGGGTCAGGCGATGACCTTTTGAAAGACAGTTACTTTGCCCTGTGCGGCAAGGTGGCAGTGACCCCTTACAGTACATAATTGACTGCTGAAAACTATCTTTTTGAAAAAATCTTTCCTTGCAACAGAATTACAAACTTCAGTAACTATTCATGTTATCTCATACAATTGCTGATGACTATGGCACCAGTAATTTGTAGCTGCATAGATAAGCAAAACTGTCTGAGCATGTTTATTTCAATACAGGAGAGGAAGCTTATCTGGAGTTGACAGCAGTGGTAACAAATTGTTACACAAATGTGACATTAGGATGCTTACTATGACATCATTATACTGACCGTGACTTTACAAGTCTAATATGTCACATAAGCGACTCTGTTGCTGATAACTAACAAATCACTTACCTATTTTCATTGAGTCTCTCTCTCCCTAGCCGACCAAGTAAGATTATGTAACTTTGCTAGTCCCCGCTAGCTAGGGAGCTTCATCAGTGTTTTGGGCCTGTTAAGGGCAGAAGTTCTATAAAGGTAACTGTGGATGATGTGTTGCAACCAGCAGAATTACATTTGTGACCTCAGCCTTGGGTACACAGCCAGAAAAAAAATACAGCTATTAGAAATATTTTTATGTAACACACTGCACTAATACTGATTGCAGGATGTTAATTAGCCACAAGATGGTAGTGTTCTGCGGTTCAGCTATTCAGACTTTATTGAAGCAAAGCCTTGTTGAATTTATATGCTGGTAGCAGGACTTCTGCACTCAGACAAGGAGTGAACGGACTGCATATCCCAGAAGATCTGGCAAAGGGGCGGGAGCGTATATATATTGAGAATCCTGGGAACTTTACAGGAAGGAAGTAGATGGTGAGAGTCGGAGGACTTTTGTGTGAAGAAGGCCGTACGGGACTCAGAGGATCCAGGCTGGATCAGACTGCTTCGTTGAGAAGGAAAGAAGGACTGCAGAACGCTGGTATCGCTGACGAGCAAGACAGTCAACCCTGCAGGCAGGCAACACGTAGTGTTGCCATCGCCATCACAAGTGACTGTGTTATTTTCAACTGTATAGTTCAGTACACTTTACGCCACAGATAATCACATTGGGCACAGACTGCCCTTTCAGTACTGTGGCCTATTGCTTTAGTGTCTCCCTATATATATATTGAGAATCCTGGGAACTTTACAGGAAGGAAGTAGATGGTGAGAGGCGGAGGACTTTTGTGTGAAGAAGGCCGTACGGGACTCAGAGGATCCAGGCTGGATCAGACTGCTTCGTTGAGAAGGAAAGAAGGACTGCAGAACGCTGGTATCGCTGACGAGCAAGACAGTCAACCCTGCAGGCAGGCACCACGTAGTGTTGCCATCGCCATCACAAGTGACTGTGTTATTTTCAACTCTATAGTTCAGTACACTTTACGCCACAGATAATCACATTGGGCACAGACTGCCCTTTCAGTACTGTGGCCTATTGCTTTAGTGTCTCCCTATTATTCTGAAACAGCAGAACTCTGGCTACAGCACGTGCCCCCCTGCAGACAGTTTTACACTAGTATCACACTTCAAGCCTCTTCCAGCTCCATAGGAACTTTCTTCACCAAAACTTGTTCACCATCCTTGGGGGTTCAACCTCTGCTGAAGTGTGCTTCCGCCTCTTTTTTCAATTATAGCCAGGTTTTGCCTTCAACTCTTGTTAAGGAGACCTTATCCAGTTTCAACACCACTTAAAGAGGAATCTTTATGTTGCTATACCATCTTGAAGAAATCTTGCTCTTACACAAAAAGGGATCTTAGCCTTAATGTGCACCAACTAGGACCCCATCAATGTGAAGAAGATTTGTTACAATTCTTGGATGAAATACAAAAGGGAAATTATTGCTTATGGAAAAATATTAATTTAAACCCCGTTTCCAGCTGTTGAGAACCTAAAAGTGATTTAGCCTAGTATCTTGATATTCCACTGCAGCTCACTCATAAGCTTGAATTCATGTTCAAATTCTGATCCTGCAGGACATTTGGGTTTGCTTAAAGTGATACTGTGCTTGACTACTTTGATAAACCTTTTAGAGTGTTTAATTTTTTTTTTTAATTGCACATCTACTGTCATTCTAGTTGTGCTTGCACTCTTCATACTCTGACCTCAATATAATTAGAATATTTGCTCACCTTAAACTGTGTGTTTATTTTATGGTTCAAAGACAGGGAGTCCTGGTCAAGGTTTCATGGTGTTGTCAGCAGGGGCTGTACTTCCAAAACAGACTCAGAACAGACAGGGAACCAAAAAATACTCAGAGGCTGTTAAGGGGGTAGCGCTACATTTTTTTTTATGCCTCTATATTAGCCAATGTGTCCATGCACATTGTGATGTTCAGATTATTAATTAGAGCAACATTTAGGGTCATGGAAAAAAAATGCTCCAAGCCTGCGTTTAGAGAGAAGCGTACAGGCATAATTTACACATATGTGTGCAAAAACGTGTATATACAAGTTGTGGCAGTGCGGTGTCCTGCCACGGTCAAAATAAAGCTGAAAACCCTGGATTCTCAACCAGGCAGGTTGAGGGGCTCCAGTGAGTTGATATATTGCAGAGGAAACTGGCTTTTCAGTTTCCTCATATATTCATTAAGTCTGTTTTGGGATCTGGAGCCTGGAGATTTCAAAGAGATCTGGGAGGGATGAAATCTCCAATCCGGGGTCCGTGTTTTGAGAACCCCCAGCACACTGATTGCACAGGTGTGTGCAGGCCTTTTTATAGAGTCCTAACCATAGTTCTGGGCTCCACCCCGGCAGACGGAGTCAGGAGGGCTCCACCCCGGCAGACAGGAGGTCTCTGCCTTGGAGTCAGGTGAAAGCCAGACTAGCTGTGTGCTAGTGGCCATAATTTGGGAAGAGTCTGCAGGAGACAGACAGTAAACTGTGTACAAGCCAGGAGGCTGAATCTTTGTTGGTATTTCTTGATGGTGGATACCCCTGCGTGGGAAGCATTTGTGTTTATGGGACATTTTCTTTAAATAAAAGTGGGCAAAAAAGCCCTTAAAGAAGCGAGTTGCTGTGTGCTTTAACAAGAAGAGCTCTACCATTTGAAGCGAGTTCCCACATATGGTGGAGGATGCGGGCAGAACTAGAGATCCCAGCAAGGAAGTAAGTTCATGTGTTGAACTGTGTTTGGTGCATGACTCTGCACTATCTGTGTGTGCAGGTGAGGAGATCCTGCAGAGAAAAGGAACTTTCCTTAAAGAGACAGTGCTCCATTGTGTTGCTGGACTGTGCAAAAGTGTTGTGGAGTGACTGCAAAGATGGGGCGGTCAAAACTCAAAAAAGAAGCAAGATTTTTCTGAAATGAAAGACAGAGCCCTGTGGCTGGAGGGGTTGTTACCACCAGAACAAGCCCCATACATGGCTGCACAGAGTTTGCCACAGTGGGAAGTGCATGCTGTTGTCCCTGGCAATGCTGGTGAAAGGAAACCAGTTTTCTGTGTGCAGAGTACTATGCCTGAAAGAGGATGCAGTGTTGGAAGTTCGGCCAAGATACTGCTGCAAGAGCGCTGTTTGCGGTGCAGTGAATGGGGGCACACTGTCTCCAATTGCCCTTTATCCCAGCTTCCAGTACAAGGTGACAGAACCAGACAAAGGTCTGGGTATGCAACTGGGAAGCCTGCTTGGAGTTCCAGGAAGGAGCAGCAGGCTGCCCAAAAGTTTCAGAAATATGTGGTTGCCCATAGCAACACATGTGACTTCAGGCCTGCGGACCCTGTGAGAGAAGTGTCGTCTGCAGAGGATTGTGGCAACGCAGAGATGAGAGTTCAGCGCAACTGGAGGAACCCACAAAGTTCAGCTGGGAGAGTGCCATCTCCCATAGCAACAGGAGAAAGCCTGCCAACCAGGAGAAGGGGCTACAAGGGAGATGTGATTCCGTATCCCAAGAAGGTTATCTGTGGAACCATACCCTGCCTGGAATGTGGTCAGTTTGGGCATGGTATCTTTACCTGCCCCAGATTATGGAATACCACTGATGAGGGTGCTACTGGGCAAAAGTCTTCATCTGCAAGCCCAGATTTGTGTTTAAAAATGTTGGCAGCCACCTCTAGCAACAGTGAGGAAGTACCTGTTGTGCTTGCAGGGGGTGCCAAGGAGTCAGAAGTGCCTGCCACAGTATCATCCTATAGCTGCATGGATGAACTGGCTGGCCAAAGCCAAGCAGAGGAGATGACAGAAAGGATCCAGATCCCACGCACTCAAGTGAAGGTGAAGCCTGTTGCAGTGGTGGGTAAGACTGGTACTTTTGAGATAAATGTGAGAGATACTAATGCACTGATTGAGACTGACTTTGAGACTCTCTGCTATAAATTTGGGATACTCCCAGTTGGGAAACCCACTGCTGGTGATTGTGAGAGAGACTTGCCTCTGTATAATGCTTTTAGTGGGGAGGCAACGGTTAAAAAAATGTGAAGAGTACTGATATTGGGGTTGCACCAATGTCCTATAAACAGAATGCTAAATTAAATGTAGTAGGGGTGACCACTAAGCAGGATGTGTTATCTCCCCTAGCAACGGTGGTTAAGGTAACCCAGGATAACTATGGTGTTGCTCTGGTGGACCAGAGTGTATCTGAATTGAGTGATGAGAATTTGTTATTTCAGTGTGGCAATGGTGAATCTAAAAGGTATGACCGTATTCATAATGATGATGGGTTAATGCAATCCACTAATGCAAAAGTTTTTGTAGTGAATGACACGCCACTAGGTCACGGTGGTGAGAGTAGGAAATTGCAACCTGCTGTGCCTAGAAAAGGAGTCTCCCATTGTGATATGGATAATGAAGATATAGGTAATGGGTCTGATACAGAGCCACTCTGTCCCTCTGTGTCTCCTTCAGCGGTTGGAGTGGTACTGCGTAGTACCTCTGATGGGATCACAGGGACGATGGACTGGGACAGATGGGCAACAAGCTTGTTTGCATTAATAAAAGATGCCTCTGTGGGTAACAATGGGGTGGACATGGTTTCTGCTGTGCTGAATAGAGGGACTGTGGAGCAGCTATTAGTCCAGGGCGCACCTGTCGCTGCCAAAATTAACCCACCGCTGGTAAAGGCACCATTGAGGATAAACGCTCAGCAGAAGTTTTGCCCACAGCCCATAAAGGAGTTAATGGTGTGGTGTACCAAACTGATATCCATAGAGAAACTGTGGAAGAGCTCATTGACACTGAGCCTCAGAGTATTTGGGTGAATCCCACACCTGGTTACGCTCTGGGAGAGCCCCAGGTTATTGTATTGGGTACCTCCAGCCGAGAGGAAGCCTCTTTAAGAAGCACCACCTCTGAGGCATCAGTAAATGAGTGGTCTCCATGTCTCCAGGAAGGTCTTATGTGTGGAATCGGGCTGTATTTTTATAACAGACCTGCTGAAGGAGATGTTAGCCTTCTGGAGTGTACAGCCGGTGTATACCTTGCTGTCTCTTCCATGTTCGGGAGAGCTGGTACAGTGGAGTCCCGCTAATCGGAGCTTGGTATTACAGGCTATACAAAACAAAGATGGTCAATATAGGAATTCTGTGATACCATCCTTGTTGGTAATGGTGAAAATTGTCTTTCAGTGCATTGCTGGGTTGCTTCATAGCAGTAATCTGTATGAGAGGCACACCAGAGTACTGTTGGACAGGACAGAGGTTTTGGCAGAAGTTCCAGAAGACACATGTATATGTGATGTGGTTGGGGTCGTCTACCCAAATGCAGAATTATGTAAGGATGGTTTGGCATCAGGACAGTTGCTGGCAGAGTCTTTTGTGACAGCGAAGTCAATGGGTAGTGACGTTTCCATGGGAGACACCCACTCCGCTGTGTGTAATTCCTCTCCAGAAACTGCCCTGCCAATTACTAGTGAACTGAGTTCTGACAAAAGTCTTTTGGCTAATGATAAAAAGGGAAATGTGTTTAATGAATTTGGATTGTCTGATTACTATGTGTGATAACAAAAAGAATGGTAGACCTGGTGGTCAAGTTGACATGGTAGCTGGTCATCCTGAAAAAGGTAATGAGTGCTTAACAGACACAAGAGAGGTTAAGAGTATAGTAATGTAGGCCCCCTACATGTTCAGGAAGGTCACTCTGGAAAAGTTTTCCAAAGGTCCAGTAAACGCCCAAGTTGTAAGAATGAAAGGTCTAAGGAACTGGCCCAAAGCTTAACAAGGGGATGTTAAAAGTGTTTGATTGCCAAATAAAAGAGCCCACCTCTATTACTAAAGGGTCTAAAAATATAACCCCATCAAAATTAAATAAAGCAAAAAGGGATGGTCTAGAGGAATTTGAGGGAGCACGTTGTAATATTACAGGTACCAGGCACTTAAAGCTTAGGCGTCAACCCCGGGTTACAAAGGGTACTGAGTTTTGTAAACCCCCTAGTGGTAAAAGGACTAGCATAGTCTTAAGGAAATTAGAAAGGCCGCGCTTTTGGAAGCACACTCGTAAAAAGGCACGGGGATGTCAGTAGAGCCCAAGTAAGGGTAGCAAGAGGAGACAAGGGAAGTCATCTCTTGGGGCAGGGAGTAGTGTCTCCCTTTGATGAAAATGAAGTCAGCCAGGATTGGACCTTTACAGGTGATAACCGCACAGAAGGTCTAAAGCAAGGGTTTTAGGTTTGTGTGTTCCGCTCCCTACGGGGTCAAAACAAAGGGGGGGGGATATGTGGCAGTGCGGTGTCCTGCCACGGTCAAAATAAAGCTGAAAACCCTGGATTCTCAACCAGGCAGGTTGAGGGGCTCCAGAGAGTTGATATATTGCAGAGGAAACTGGCTTTTCAGTTTCCTCATATATTCATTAAGTCTGTTTTGGGATCTGGAGCCTGGAGATTTCAAAGAGATCTGGGAGGGATGAAATCTCCAATCCGGGGTCCGTGTTTTGAGAACCCCCAGCACACTGATTGCACAGGTGTGTGCAGGCCTTTTTATAGAGTCCTGACCATAGTTCTGGGCTCCACCCCGGCAGACGGAGTCAGGAGGGCTCCACCCCGGCAGACAGGAGGTCTTTGCCTTGGAGTCAGGTGAAAGCCAGACTAGCTGTGTGCTAGTGGCCATAATTTGGGAAGAGTCTGCAGGAGACAGACAGTAAACTGTGTACAAGCCAGGAGGCTGAATCTTTGTTGGTATTTCTTGATGGTGGATACCCCTGCGTGGGAAGCATTTGTGTTTATGGGACATTTTTGTTTAAATAAAAGTGGGCAAAAAAAGCCCTTAAAGAAGCGAGTTGCTGTGTGCTTTAACAAGAAGAGCTCTACCAATTGAAGCGAGTTCCCACAACGTATACATGGAATTTTTAGTCCAGTGGCTAGAACAAATGACTACTGTAGCCACTAGAATTAAATTATGCACATAAGTGCACATAAACATGTGCCAGACCAAACATTTTTTTTAGTTAAGCCAGCTAGCTTCTGGCAAAGGTATCCAGTGTAAATGGGATTATATTTAGTACGCACGTGTCAATACAGCCTTGTGCTGAATGCATACGTGAATACCTTACTAAGGGTCATACCATATTAGCAGCTTATAGCAGAGATCTGAAGTAGCTGCAAATCTCTCTGCTTGTTTTTTTTTGTAGCTGAATACAGATGTGCTCACTACAATGGTGATCTATGCAGCTACAAATTACTGGGGCCATAGTCATCAGCAACTCTATTAGATATCATAAGTAGTTACTGAAGTTGGTGATTGTGTTTGCAAGCAAGATTTTTTCATGTTTGGAGTGACTAATCCGATTCACAGAACGCTAAACTGACTGCAGGTAATTGCACAGTGTGGATGGCACCATTGAAGAATCATTGCATGAATTCATATGCATTTAGAAATGTCCTCTAAACATATTAATGCAGATTTGACACTGCCAGTGTGATTGAGGCCTAGAATGTATGTAGAGCAGCCTTTCCTACTCAACATATAACAGGTGATTAATTATGAAAGGAATTAATTCAATTCCCACAATACCTTGGGAGCTGAATTATTACTGGTACTTTAGTAACCAACATTGGAAATAGATGATGTTATCAAATCCCCTATTGCTGATTAGCTGCTTGTATGGTCCTATACACCTTTCATCAATAGCCTGCTATCAATCAAAGTTCCTGGAAGGAAGGGGCATTTTTCAGCACACAGGACTGTCATGTGTCAGAAGAGCTGCTCTGGCCCATTTGTATATTATTGGGTGGAGTTGCAAAAAACATGTGGATGTGTGTTGACTGTTGCTTATACATGTTTTCTCAGCACCCTAGCCTGCAGTTCTCATTTAAATGTACCTCTCCTCTTTTCATATTTGTCCCGATAATTTCCTATTGGAATTGTTAGTCTCATCTCATTTCATATTATGTCCTATAAAGTGTGACACCAATTATCTCAGCTCTACTAGTGATTAGTGCAGTTAATTTCCTCATACAGGTGTACAGCAAATTACTATTGGGTCATGACTATCTTTACAATCAACTTTAGACTTACTAAATAATGTAATATGAGGACCCAATGATGACCACTTACATTTCAATTTCATTATCCGATTGATGTGTCATTTTCATCAAAGTCATCTATTTGGCTAGCAATCGACTAGGCATACCTTTCCTGCTGTGCGCTTTAAGACTCAATTTAGATTACATTCGATCAAACTGAGTCAAAAATTAATGATCATGTTGAATCTATTGGCACCACTAAGATCAGGGCAGCCATCAGGAAGGACAGCCTGTACACATGTAGGGTGCCCGGGGGTCCCGAGGGGCCTAGGCTCCCACCTGTGAATTGGTGTTGCTGGCCAGGGCCACAACTAGCGGTGTCCTGAAGTGACACTAGCCCTGGGCAGAACATTGTTATATGGAGGGGTGGGGGCTCACTGCACAGACTTTGCTTCTTCCCTGCCTTTAATCTGCATCTGCTAGCTGCCGGGATTGGCTGTCCTATTTTGTGAGGAAGGGGAGAGTGGATGCGGCCAGCAGAGTGAGCAGCAAGAGTAGTAGCAGCAGTAGGACAGTGCGGCCAGGATTTCCTTCTGCTCCGGGACTGAGGGTCTCCCTCTCTCCCCTCAACATTGCCATTGGCTCCAATGTCTGAACAGTGTTTGCTCACAGCACACTGTGTCCTTTCTCCATCACATGGGTGGTGGAGGGCAGCTGACTGCAATCCTCCTAGCTGGGGGTCTCCCTTTACTGGAGAAGGGTGGGCAGGGGAGTCTGTTGTGGTCCCCTCTGATCACCCTCCTGCAATCCCACTTACTTTGGGGTCTTCTTCTCTTGGAGGGGGAGGTTAGGGCAGTTTATGTTGGGGTTCCCTCTGATCACCCCCTGCAATTCTCCTAGCTAGGAGTCTCCTTCTCCTGGGACCGGGTGGGTAGGGCAGTTTGTGTGGGGGTCCCCTCTGATCACCCCCCTGCAATCTTCCTAGCTGGGGGTCCCAGCTTACTAGAAAAAGGGGGTTTGTGTGGGGATCCCCTCTTATCAGCCCCTACAGTCCTCCTAGCTGGGGATCTCTGTTTCCTGAAGAAGTGTATTTGTGTGGGGATCCCCTCTTATCAGCCCCTGCAGTTCTCCAAGCTGGGGATCTGAATTTACTGGAGAAGGGGGATTTGTGTGTGGGTCCCCTCTTATCAGCCCCTGCAGTCCTCCTAGCTAGGCATCTCTTGTTACTGAAGTAGGGTGGCGGGGGTATGTGTGGGGGTCCCCTCTCACCCACCTGCAGTCTTCCGAGATGGAGGTCTCCTCCTAGAGGGGGGTGGACAGAGAGGGTCTGTGTTGGGGTCCCCTCTGATCACCCCTTTTGCAGTCCGTTTAGCTGGGAGTCTCCTTTAACTGCAGGGGGAGGGGGTTCCTGTATTCCTGGATGGATGTGAGGGGGTCTTTTATAATTAACCCTATGCACTCCTCCTGTTCAGGGGGCTTCTTCTCCTGAGGGGGTCAGTATTACTAGATAGGAGGTAGGGGCCCCTCTGATCACCTCCTTGGTTATAGGTGACCTATAAATTTAGAGGGGGAGTCAGGGAGTCTATAGAGGTAGGTAGGTATTGGAGGGTCTTATATAGTGGTCGGTAGGTGTCAAGGGGTCCTATATAGAGACCAGTAAGTGTCAGGAGGTATTTTATAGAGGTTGATAGGTGTCTGGAGTTCTATATAGAGGTCAGTAGTTGTCGGGGGAACTTATGTAGAGGTCATTGTGTCGGAGGGTTTTATTTAGAAGTCAGGGTGTCGGAGGGTCTTATATAGAGGTTAGTGTCTCAGGGGGTCTTATATAGAGGTCAGTAGGTGTCAGGAGGTTTTTATATGGATAGGTAGGTGTCAGGAGCATTGAAGAAGTAGCGCAGGCAGTGTTAGTGTAGGGTCCTGCTCAAAACAGTTTACCATGTTGTGGTGACAGACTTTGTATTTTTTAGCCAAAATATAATTCCTTACTGTTAAATCTTGAAAGCAGTGATGATTTGGAGTACACTGACTGACATGCTTTTGTTTATGAATTTGATGGTATTTCAAATATTCAGCTTATGAGATTACCTGGTGAAAACAAGTATACTATAGATACCTCATAACTGTATCTGTATCTGGCCATATCTGACCCATCTTTCCAATGAGTTGTTATATATAGATCAATTATTCCTATCGGGAGAGATCGACTGGAATAAAACAATAGTATATTGAAGAATATATGGCCACCATAAGGCTGGCCATAAACTTTGTCTTCTTTAGATTTACCAAAGCTGTAATTATTATTATACAGGATTTATATAGCGCCAACAGTTTGCTCAGCGCTTTACAATATAATGGGAGACAATACAGCAACAATACAGTTCAATACAAGAGGGAAAGGAGGGCCCTGCTCCATGGAGCTTACAATCTAGGAGGGAGGGGCTAGTGGTACAAAAGGTAGTAACTGTGGGGGATGGACTGGTTGGTAGAGTAGAAGATTCCATTATTAGCTGAGGGCAGGATAGGCTTCCCTGAAGAGACAGGTTTTCAGAGATCGCCTAAAAGTGAGCAGAGTAGGCGATGGTCTGATAAATTAGGATAGAGTTCCAGAGGATGGGGGAAGCTCTGGAAAAGTCCTGGAGATGAGCATGGGAGGAGGAGACAAGGGAGCTAGAGAGCAGGAGGTCTTGTGAGGAGAGGAGAGTACGGTTTGGGTGATATTTAGAGACAAGATCGTTGATGTAATTTGGGGCAGAGTTATAAATGGCTTTATACGTTATTGTTGTTTTGAATTATCCGTTGGGCAATGGGAAGCCAGTGGAGGGATTGGCAGAGAGGGGTGGCAGATACAGAACGATTAGTAAGGTGGATGAGTCTGGCAGCAGCATTCATGATAGACTGAAGAGGGGATCGCCTGCGATTAGGTAGGTTATAGGTAACGCTGAAGGAGCCTGCGATGGGTAGGAGGAGAACCAGGAGAGAGCAGAGTCTCTGAGACCAAGAGAGTGGAGTTTTTTGAGGAGGAGGGGATGGTCAACCGTATCAAAAAGCCGCAGAGAGGTCAAGTAGTAAGAGTACAGAGTAGTGGCCATTGGTTTTAGCTGTTAGACCATTAGTGAGTTTTAGTAGGGCAGTTTCAGTGGAGTGAGCGAAAGCCAGACTGTAAAGTGTCAAGAAGGTTGTTGTCAGTGAGGTGGGAGCTCAGGTGATTGTAGACTAAGCGTTCTAGGAGTTTAGAGGTAAATGGCAGCAGGAAGATGGGTCTTAAGTTGTTCAGGTTGGTGGGGTCCAGGGAGGGCTTTTTAAGTATGGGAGTGATGTGCGCATGCTTTAGAGGGGAGGGGAAGGCATTAGTAGAGAGGGAAAGATTGAAGATGTGAGTGAGGGAGCATAGGATGGAAGAAGAGGGTGACCGTAGTAGTTGTGAGGGGACAGGATCCAGGGGGCAGGTAGTGAGATGGGCTTCTGAGAAAACCTTAGTGACCTCTTTGGTA